AATATTTTTGAGGGAAAATGCCCGGCTGGCAGTTTTGTTCTCTTGTCTGCACACACGGTGGTCTTTTTTATGTTGTTGGCGGCCTTTTATTGTTTAGTTTAGAGCTTTTTCGTTTCCACCCTCACCTTCACATAGATAAATATTTAAATAGAAAAGTAATAAGTAGAAAATAGATAAAGTTACTTAGAGACATTTTTAATGCTAAGTAGCGTTATTAGTTTTCCCCCAAGTGAGGCTGAGCGTCATGGCGTCTAACGTGTTTTACAAATTTGAAAAAATTTCGGAAATTAAAAAAATCGAGGCATAACAGTTCCGAATTTGACAATTATGGATATAAAAATTTAAGAAAATTGAAAAGATTTATCTAATCCCACCCATGGTTGGGAATGCCGGCTGTCAGCTGAAGTGACAGCCGAAGCATCAAACACCTCACTTACCGTATAACCCGATTACCCGATTAATTGCCCTCCCTCAAATAATTACCCCACTTCCATTAATTACCCCATCTAGTGATAGATTGAAACAATAATTACCCCCAAACAAAGGCCCTAAAACACGTTCAAATTTAACCTCATATAATTACCCTCCCTCGATTAATTACTCCCTCCAGCGCAAGGTTAAAACAATAATTACCTAGGTAGTTATTAAAGGATATACGATAGATGCTCTCCCTCCGGCAATGCGTGAAATATAACTACTTAGGGTAATTATTATATTATAACTAGTGTAAGTCGAGTACCGAGTAATTGGGAAAAAACCGAGCTCGAGTAATCCGAGTTTGAAAAACCCGAGTTCGAGCTCGAGCTCAACTTTTTAGGCCGAGTTCGAGTTCGAGTAATCGAGTATTTTTTATAAAACAGTATTTTTAAATAATTTCAATAAAAACAATACTTTTACTAAAACCTATTCATCCTCAGTGCCGTGTTTTGGGCATTTGTTGGAAGTAATGCGTTATATCTTCATCCAAATCCCAGTTATTTTCGTTAATCCGTCTATATCCCTCTTAATCCGCCGAAATTCCATGATATGCACACGATCCATGTTGACTACGGGCTCCGGGTTGAAAATCAATGGATAATATTATTTCGGGGATTCGTGTAGATTATGGGGATATCGAGTGATAAGTGGAATGAGATGGATATCAAGAGATTAAGCGGAATTTGGGCCGATTATAGTGAGATTTGGGTGTATTAGGAGCAAAATCTTGGAAATTCGGGAGATTAATTGGGATATCATTGGATTAGGTATATTGTCGAAAGGTGATCATGAGATCCGTTGCTCTATCCCTCTCATTTCGCGCCGTCGGCTTAAATTTTGAAAATTTCTGAAGGTCAAGTAGGAACACCAATTTTCAGAAAGTCAGATCATCGCTATTCTTTTAGATCCCTTGAAATATCCGGATATCACTAAAATCCACTTAACTTGATTGAATCCTCCGATATACACAAATCTTCTTTTTTCAGCGCCGCAGGCGAAAATTTTGAGAATTTTGGAAGAACCTTAAGCTAAAAATCTTCCTTTTTGCGCCGCAGATGGGGGCATAAAAATACTCGGTTTTAACCGAGTACGTCGAGTAGGAAGTTTCCGAGCTCGAGTAATCCGAGTATTATGATCCCGAGTTCCGAGTCGAGTAATTACGCAAAAAACCCGAGCGGTCGAGTCGAGTAACTCGAACTCGCTCGAGCTCGACTTACTCTAATTATAACTACTTAGGGTAATTAATTATTGGTAGGGCTGTAAATGGGTTTATAACTACTTGACTAATGTTCATCCATATTCTCTTAAAATGACATTTAAATGTATTTATTTTACAAATTATTTTTTACGTGTTTGAGATTTCTCAATTAGGTATCTGATCTGAAAGTTGGCTACATTTTATGAGATCATTATGCCTCTAAAACATTTATTTGAAATTACTATGTGTAATTTCCGCAAAAGTCGGGTATCATCTCTTTACATACCTGAACCTTTACCGAAATCCTAGAAATGTTCTAAAGCTAAGATAATAAATTCTTCAAAAATTATATACATATGGATTTTTGCTTAAAAATATGGAAAAAAAAAGTCTAGTCCAACATTTAGTAAAAAATAAACGGGCAATCAGCCAAACAGCAACAAAAATAACAACCAAAATACTAATAAAAAATAAAAAAATGTTTTTATTTTTCTATTCAATCGCCACATTTCTTTTATGCTTTTCCAGACTTTGGGTAAAATAAAAAACAAAAAAGGACCAAAAAAATTTAATAAAAAATATTTTTTAGTCTTGAATAATAATTTATTAATTTTTAAATATAATAAAAAAATTTTAAGAAAAAAACAATTATTTTAATAATTCATTATTTATTGTTTCTGGGACAGTTTCTGTACTAAGCAAACTTAATTCGGCACATTTACGACCAACTTGAAGACATTTATTTAATTCGAAATTGTTTAGAATTGCAGAGAGAAATCCACAATTAAAGCTGTTGGAAAAAAAGGAAATTAAGAATAGAGAAATGAATGTACGGCCCGGACCAGCCCGAAAAATGCTTCGACTTTCGGTCCGACTCGAAAACGGCAACCCTAAAGGAAATAAACACTGGATCCCAATTTTCCTTATTTTTGTTGATCAGAATGTTTACAGAAAATAGGTATGTGTAATTTTCAAGTATTTGGAAGCACAAGAATATAGTTTTTTGATTAGGAAAATTACGGAAAGGAAGATATTTGTTTCAGGGTATTCCAGAAATGATGATGGAATTGAGTTGTTGTTTCCGGTAAATTATGAAACAACAAGAATATTATTTTCCTGATTCTTTACTTTATTTTCCTAAAATTTTTTTACCAATCTCCAGCGCCTGAAGCTGAAAGTATCTCTTCTGTATTTAAATCAGGTGCCTCCAAAAATTCCCCAAAAAATTCATTATTCTCCAAACGATAAAATATCAAAACTCCATAAATATCGAAAGTAATTATTAAATATTTTCTTGGCTGGAGTGCACGAGGTAATTTTATAGTTGAAAGCCAGTCCAATAAAAAATTATTTTTGTTGGTTAATTTATCTATTAAATATTTAATAAAATGAGGATTAGACTGAGCTAACCTTCGACTTGAGAAACAAATTGGCTGCATTCTAAAGCCTCATATCCTTCAATTTTTTGACTGAAGCAAACAGAAAATGCTCTTAATTCATTAAAATTAGGAGAGAAAACGTCCACATTTTCAAGTGGCCATTCTCCTAAAGCTTCAAATAAGTTTGGAACTTTTAATGCATCTGTTGGATCTAGCCAGACTAAAATTAATTTTAATTTACTATGAACACAATATTCTTTCTAATACAATTTTAATATACTCTAAGGGGTTTAGATTAAAGAGAGGTGTTCTATTCTAGAATGCTGTTCTATTAAACTTGAGGCGTTCTATTAGAGAGGGTCATTCTATGCTAGTGATGCATTCTATTGACAAAAGTCATTTAATTAAAAAAGGGTGTTTTATTAAAGAGAGGGTGTTCCTAATTAAATTAATCTAATAAATACCAACTTTTAGTTTCTGAACGATTAGCCAAGTACAAAACTCTTTCTATTGCTTTAGGAGGAAAATTAGCATCGATGACCACATAATCAGCCAAGTCAATCAAATTAGCTTTATTATCAATCTTTAAAGGGTATTAAAAAATATAAGAAATAAATTTTTTTAAATTTACAAATTTACAATCAATTTTATTTAGCAAAACTTCAACATTAATAAATCCTTGCTGAAGTCCCTTAAATGTATTTTAAATTTAACAAGTAAATCAAGTAAATAATGGGTTGTCAGATAAATAATGAGCCCTTTGCGCATAAATTATACAATTTACTATAACTAAATAATGAATTGAAATCAAAAAACAATTTAATGTCCATTATTATCTATCACTTCTTGCCCCTTGCTTGGCAGTTTTAGAATTCCCATTTGATAAAATTTATTGGCAGATTTGGTATTAAGAATGTTGGCAACCCAATTTTAGAGTTGAGCACAGTTTTGGAACCCATCCGAGTGTCCCCGTTCCCATCCGAGTGTCCCCGTGATCTAGGCTCGAGTTGCGTTCGCGCGATGCAAGTGTGCAGTTTCCTGTTGAAAAACAGCTTTATCAAAACGAACCCCGCAAGCAGTGAAACCATCGTTGGCAATCTGAACTATGTCCAATATTGTTTTGTAGAGTTCGCCCGGCAATCCATTGCCCTTTAGGAGTTAGTTTTCAGTGTAAAACCCCAAATTTAGCCCAAATTTGGGGTTTTTGGCTTCTAGGCCCATATCTCCATTACTGAATTTTTTGTAACATCGCTTAATTGATGCAAAAGATGCCCAATATGTACCCTACAAGGCGGCATTTTCTTTTTTGGATTGAGTTGTACCTAGACCGCGTTTGAAGCAATACAAAATAACAGTCCGAATTTCATATTTTGAGTACATAATTTTAAAAAATTTTTAAAAAACTGCAAAACTCAAAATTTATTTTTTAAATGGTTCTGGCTAGTAGAAAAAAGCGCGAACTATCGACTCTAGTAAATTTAAAATAATTCTAACTAAAATTCGAATACCTATACATAAAAAAAGACTAAAAATGCGCAAAGGGCTCATTATTTATCTGACAACCCATTATCTAAGGATACCTTTTTTGATTCGATAGAAACAGAGGTTGCTGTACTGCATTCTTTAGTGAATAACGAGTGGGAGAAATCCTTAAAATAATCTTTTATTTACTAGCCATGTAGCTCAACATTTTGTAAAAAATTTTTGTTAAAAGTTCGGATTAATTTCCAGATTTCCCAACCCCAATTAGAGACCGGAACTAGACAAGATCTCGAACAAGAATTGTACGACCATTTTCAGTTTTCGAGATTTTTCGAGATATCGATCTCGATTTTATGCCCTTCCAGTTCGGTCTCTAATATTTATCAACAAATTACGGAAATGTATTTTATCCTCAATTGTTACTCTGTGAGTGTAGTATATTTTTGCCTATTTTAAAAATTCACTCACAAAATAATTTTAATACAAATTTGTAAACAAACCAAGTTTTCCAATCCTTCTAATTTTTTAAAAAGAAAAGTAGCCCCAATATCTGGATCCCCATTTAAATCAACACCAAAAGCAGAAATCAAATCAACATCAATACCAAGACGGGCAAGTGCTTCCGCATGATTTCTAGCTACACCCCCAGCCCTTTGTTTAATTTCTGCAGGAAAATAGGAAATTTCTCCTTTTTTCGGTTCTTTTGTTTCTTCTGTTGATATAACTTCTATATCAACGATTGCACTGCCAATACAAACCTTTTTTAGGAAAAATTTTATTTATGAAAAAGATTGAGTTTCTTCAATAACAATAGTCCAACTGGAGAAACTAGGTTTCTTAAAGCTTTGGCAGAATTTGGAAATTATACACAAAATCTGCAACATTTATCCGCAAATGTAGATAAGTTTTCGCAAAATTTGACAAAAGAGGAGGAGAGGGAATGAAAAATTAGCTACCTTACTTGAAAGAATGAGTCGGCTTATCCTAAACCCGACTAAAGAATTTTCGAAAACCTGGCCCACCCCTGTTTGCTTGTTGACTGTTTTGCAGATAAGCAGATAAGTAAGAGGTATTCTCCTCTCCTATTTTAATTACTCTAAGTTAATTTTTTAATCACAGCAGAATCAGCTTTTTTTATCAAATCTTTTAAACTTACAATTTTCGGTTTTTCCTTCATATGTTATTCAAAGTTTATTTGTTTTAAATTAACGTTCTCTCTATATAATTTATTACTTGCAAGTAAATTATAAATTAAAAATTTTTAAATTGAACTGAAAAGTTTTTTTGTTAATTTTTGAATAGAAAAATTCATAAATAATTATTTTATTGTCATAAAACTTTGAAAAAAATATTTTACAAAGGCTTTTCGAAATTGAGAATAAAATTAAAATCAGGGCTTTAAATAAGTTTATTGGGGTTTTTAATAAAAAAATGTTGTAGGATGTAAAGAGATGTTTATAACAACATTTTTTATTTACTTATAACGATGTTTAAAATAAATTTAAAATTTTTTTATAGATTTATTATTTTTTTAATTAAAACTTTATTTGTTATTTTCTTAAAAATAAAAAAGAAATACTTTAATACTGCACATCTGGCACGTGAACAAATATATATAATATTTGTACATAGTTGAAGAATAAAAACATTTCCTTTTACAATTATGATTCATTACTGATAGCTAGATACATATATTTACTTACATTATTTATTACATTATTTTATTTCGATTTTTAATTCCGATCAAACTCGTTTAAATATACCTAAAACAGAATCACCGGGCAAAAATTTTCGTTTTTGAGGATAAAATTAATTTTTAAAATATTCTATTTTTTAAATTTCTTAAATTAAAACTAATTACGAAAACCAATGTTGTTAAGGGAAATCAAGAAGGATATTGGTGGATTAGAGGGATAAAAGTCGAGCTTCGTCCTTATAAAATTGAAAATGCATTATTGTTAAGAAATTATAAACGCACTTCGAGTTTCCGTGTTTCTAACATTAGGAAAAATTTACAAAAATTGAGCTAAAAAAACAAAAAAGAACTAGGCCCATATCTCATTTCAATGTCGAGATCTCGATACCCTGAAAACACGGGTAAAACAAGAGTAGGACTTTGTAAAAAATATTTTCGACCCCTTATGGATTATTTTGAAATTACTATTTAGGCTTATTTGATAGCCCTTGAAATTTGCAAAAAGATAGAATTTGTCTAATTTTTAGAAAAAATGAGAGAGTTGAAATTAATCTTAAATTTTAAGTATATAATGTCTTATCTACATACATGTCCTGAAAATCTGAAATAAATTCAATGACTGAAACATTGAGAAATATAAAAAATCTGGGTGTGCATATAATTTCTTAACACACTGTAATTTTAAAATTCTTGTGCCGTAAAATAAAGTAGTTTTTTAACTTAATTAAATTATAATTTTTAATAAATTATTTTTAATTAAAATTAAAAAAAAACTTAATTTAAATTAATTTTTCTAATTTTAATTTAAAAATTGATTTTTAATTTGCTTTTCTAATCAATTTTTTATTTTTTCTTTCTCTATATTGGCTTTCCACATTAATTTGTCCTTTTTTTTTAAAAGCGCTGCACTTATATTAATGCCTTGCCAAGCTTAATTCATGTGATTTTACTTGGATGAGTGTCCGTCGATTAAGGTACATTTCACGGAAAGTCGTTGGATATTTTACAAAGCTGCTTATGAAATTGTCCGTAAGCTGTTTCAGCAATAAATCTGTATTATTTGTAAAGAATCTAAAAATGAAACTTTGTGAGCACAAAACGGAACAGAGCCACAGGTCGAATTCTTTGAATAAAAGAAGTGTTAATTTCAGCAGGATGTTGTGTGTACCTCGGCGGAGCCGAGGTAAGATTTTGAAAGCCACGGAAGTTGAACCGAGCCAAAATTTGTAAAAGTTCGAACCGGAGCCGAAAAATTGCCCAAACCAAGCACTGATTATAAATGTAATGGCTCCATGTATAATGCCGTCAATGCGGAACAAATTTAATTTTAGAGATTCACCAGATTATTTGGGAACTTATAAACGTGATTAACTGAAGTTTCTTCCTCTCATCAAGAATGCTTTAAATTAAACATTAAAAAAGTCAAAATTAGATGAAATGTCCCCTTACTTCATTTTTTTACAAAAGGGAGGCTCCTTCAGAATAATTTTTTAAAATAAAAAACAAAGAGCTAGAGAGACACTGACAGCTTAAACCAATTCTTAAAAGACAAAATTAAATATCGTTGAAAAGCATGTTCTGTGAAATGTCCTTACATTCCCATTTTTTTAATTGATAAAGCCTGGCAGAGTAAAAAAAAAATTGCCCAGCCCTCTCAAATAGCTCCTTATAAATATTAGTTACCATAATACGTTTTATTAATTTAATTTTTCTTTTTTCTTTTTCTTAAATGCTTTATTAAGCTACTCGTCATTTGGGGATCAGACTTTTGGGGACCCGGTAGATGGGAACGACTTTTGGGGACAAGACACTTAGTTACCCACTATTTGGGACTAAATAGAATTTTTAAACAGAAAAATCAACTCGATCCGACTTGATCAGACAAAGTTATACAAAAATGATATGGGCATCGGAGAGGCATTTTTTCAAAACGCGCCTCGCGGGAGTTAACGGTCGCTGAGTTCTGCACCAGTAACAAAAAAACGTTTTTCTATTAGAAGTCAAAAGGAAGTATTAGTGACTACAGACGGTTATCGAAATTAAATATTTTTTAAATTCTAAGAAAAATATTTTAAATCAAAATTTAGATTAAAATGTTCAAAAAATTCAATACAATTGTTATTTTATTTTTCATTTTAAAAAATTATTCTGAAGGAGCACCGAAGAAGAGAAAAGGAGAAACAAGTGGGCAACAAATCCAAGAGTTAATACAAAAATTAATTTAATTTTAAAAAATATTAAGGTGGAAATGTGATTGGAATGGATGTATATATCTTTTCAATAATGAAGGTGATTATGCTAATCATGTTAACCAACATGCAGGAGAAGCACAGGTTACAATAATTATCAACACAAACAAGACATTTTTCCTTTGTCATCTTAATATTAAATATAATACAAATATAACAATCCGTAAACGTTAAATTCGACTGACGGTTTTCATTTTTCTGAATCGTCTTTCTATTATGTATTATGCCCCTGCTGTTAAAAAACTTATGATATAGCTGCTTAAATCGGAATATCATAATAAAGAGCCCACACAAAATACAAACTAACTGATCAACTCGATGATTTTTATTTTTATCCATCTATGTATATTCTTTCTGAAATTACGGGTAAAACAGCTATTATGTATAAACAAATCCTTGGCTACTATAAACATCCTTACATGGGAGGTGTTTGTTATTAAATCCCCACTTTAAATTTAACTTTTAAAATATAAAGGATAAAATATGTCGTTGGCCAAATTGTAAGAAAAATGGGAAGCCTTTTGATTATAAATCTGATTTGCTAGAACATACTGTAGTGCATACTCAAGTAAAACCTTATGTTTGCACGGTAATATCTTCAATTATTTCCAATTTCTTAAAAGATTCTTTTCCAGCATGTTGATGATGGTGTTCATTGTGATATAATGTTTGGTCGTAAGAAAGATTATGTCAAGCATCATCGGAATTATCATCCTCATTGCAATGAAGTATTTTTTAAGTTAATCTCTTATATTTTTAATTTTTTGCGCCATGAGAGCATTGGCCTTATTGCGCAAAATTAATTTTTTACTTAAAAATTTTCATATAGGGCTGAAATTAAGAAATTTTGTTTCCTTTGTCGGCAAAAATTTTGGAGTTTCTAACATTCCTAATCCTGTTTCAATTGTTAGGGATAAATCTTCCGTTTCAGCCCTTATCCTCTAGGGGATTATGATAAAATAGTTTTTATAAATCCATTAATTATATTTTTATTCGTTTTAACTTTTAAAGGATTGTTGTAAACACATAACCGAAGGACATCATCAACAATTCGATCACCCACCCCACGGAGGACAACAATTACCAACAAATGTAGAACATCAAGGAAATGAGAACGATTATTCTAATGAAGATTTGGACTTGACTTTGCGCCTTTAACTTTGGATTCGCAAATATGTGCCCTCAATTTGGTTATTCCCAGGCATATTTTTAACAAACACAAAACAAGAGTTGACACCTTTAAATTGGGGTTTCTTTTAAATTCTTCCAAATTCATTTTATATTAAAATTTAACTTTATCGTAAATGTTAGTCTCTCAAAACTTTATTTAACTTATTAGTGTTGTTCTCTCTATTTTTTTAGTTTTATTTCCCTCTCTCCGGTATAAGCATTCAGTTGGCCCTTTTAGCTATCCCTTCTCAGTTCGTAGTACCAAACTGGTTTATCCAGATTTGTTTTCATATTATATTCATTTTGCATAAAGAATTTCTAGTCTTTTAGATTTTTTTAAATTAATTTTGTGTAAAAAAGGTGAGAGTCTCATTTAGTTTATCTTGATATTTTTTGACGTTTTTCGAAGAGTTATTTAGGATCCAATTAACAAATTTTGATTTAAAGCAACATATTTTAAGAGATTCTGTAAGTCAATCCAAAATATTTTCATTTGAGCGGGCACGGTTAAACTTCAAAAATAAAGGAAAAATATTTTTTAATTTATTTTAAAATTCTTGTGCCGCGAATTAAAGTATTTTTTAAACATTTTTGGAGTAAAATTTTTAATAATATTTTTTTAATTAAAATAATAAAAAAACTTTATTTAAATTAATTTTTTAAATTTTAATTTAAAAATTTATTTTTAATATTTCTTTTTCTAATCAATTTTTTATTTTTTCTTTCTCTATATTGGCTTTCCACATTAATTTGTCCTTTTATTGAGGAA